AGTTACACTTCATTAGTAGCTTCCCTCCCCCTTTTTTTTCTTTCCATCTCTCAGTTACAGTTCATTAATAGCTCCCCCCCCCCTCTTTTTTTTAAATCTCTCAATTCCATTAGTTCGCCCCCCCTCCCCAAATTTTTTTTATGGTTCAATTTCCCTTCCTTAGAAGCCCCCCCCCCCCCCAAGCCCTTTTCACTTTCTGAGTTACATCTCAATAGTAGCTTCCCTCTCCTTTTTTAAATCTCTTAGTTACAGTTCATTAGTAGCACCCCAACCAACCCCTTTTTTTTATCTCTAAGGTTACATTTTATTATTAGCTCCCACTTTCTTTATCTCTCTGTTACAGTATATTAGTAGCTTCCCCACTCCCCTTGTATATCTCAGTTACAAATATGTGCAGGTTTCCTTTTGACATGTCTGTTATAGACAGTAACCATTTTTCCTCTTCAGCTTCACGGGCTGTTATCCCAAAAATGTCATAGACAATAATGTGTTGACCAAACCAAAGATGATAATAAAAATCAAGGTAACAAAGACATATCAAATAGTGGCTATTTATTGGCGTTAACCTTGACATCAACAGAATGAGACAAATATAGACCGTTAACCCTAAGCCTAACCTTGACATCAACAGAATGAGACAAATATAGACCGTTAACCAACCGACCCTAACCCTAACCTTGACATCAACAGAATGAGACAAATATAGACCGTTAACCAACCGACCCTAACCCTAACCTTGACATCAACAGAATGAGACAAATATAGACCGTTAACCAACCGACCCTAACCCTAAGCCTAACCCTAACCTTGACATCAACAGAATGAGACAAATATAGACCGTTAACCAACCGACCCTAACCCTAAGCCTAACCCTAACATCAACAGAATGAGACAAATATAGACCGTTAACCAACCGACCCTAACACAAACAGTACTTCTTTACACATAAGTCAAGAGTTCTTTATTCAAGGAAAACAGCACACTTCTAATAAAAAATTTCGATGATATGTTTGACAAATTCCTTTGTTTTTCTTGTTTAATTTTTATCACAGAACACAGCACATGATATCCACAATGTCACACATGTTTGTGGTCAGAACAAACTTCTACTCTTGCCTTCCTTGGTACTTACAAACAATGGATAGACTGGTAGAGAAACGAATTTGGTGTATACAAAGGGAAGCAAATGATAGTGGACACGAACTCGAACTCGGCTGTTTCTCAGCCCAGGTCCACATGTAAAATGGTTCATTAAAAACTATGCAAATACAAATTGAGGAAATAATTGTACAAGTTTGTCTGAAAGGCAAAACAAATCTATAGCGATATTATGAAATCTGTTCTTGTATATTATGATAGTATTATACATGCTCATGTTGTCAACACTGCTTACATGGGTTCAAAGGTTAAACACAATACTGACCTTACATGGGTTCAAAAGCAATACCGACCTTAAAAATGGAGTTAGTTTTTGTGTTATTATTATGTTCCTAACTAATCAAAACTGAATGTGAAACAACTGACTGGATCACTTTGAGCAGCCCATCAAAGTATTCCAAGCATTCTTATTTAATGATTCATCTTACAAGATAAATTAGTTTTCTAAGAGGTATTTTTAATAACGTCAAGTCATTGGACATTTTTTTTTTAAAGTGAAAAGAACAAGCAGAGCTGAATTGTTTGAACTTGGCCTGATGCAATCATGAGATGCTCAGCAGAGCTGAATTGTTTGAACTTGGCCTGATGCAATCATGAGATGCTCAGCAGAGCTGAATTGTTTGAACTTGGCCTGATGCAATCATGAGATGCTCAGCAGAGCTGAATTGTTTGAACTTGGCCTGATGCAATCATGAGATGCTCAGCAGAGCTGAATTGTTTGAACTTGGCCTGATGCAATCATGAGATGCTCAGCAGAGCTGAATTGTTTGAACTTGGCCTGATGCAATCATAAGATGCTCAGCAGATCTTATGTTGTGTCAAAATTTCAAAACTAATAGGACCCTAACCTGCTTACAAATCTATCAATTATTTGATCAACTATGATGATGCATAATTGTCCAAGACATTTGACAAAACTAGAAAGTAATCAAGCATCAAAAAAACAAGTTGATAAAAAAATTGGAAGAAAAGGTTTTAATAGCACTTAAAAAAATATGTTGTAAGCTTAAAACAAGAGAATGAGAGAATGTAATGGACACACGTATGTGATGTTGATTGGCAGGAAACAAAGAAGGAAACAATCTGTAATGATTAGGATGGTTGGTTGTTGTCTGTTAATAATGACATTACTTTTTCTGGGTTATTTGCTTTTATCATAAGATTTGAACAAATTTAAAAATAAGAAAGCGTGCCCTGGTGGTTTAAAACTAAATATGGAGCCGATAGTGGGCGACTTTGAGAATCATTGTAACAAACTAAATACTCATTGGACCACATAGGCTTTGTTTTATAAGAACCAGTCTAAATAATGTTTCATAGGCTTTGCTCTTCTAAGAAACAGTCTAAATGACCCTTTCCCAGGGGTCGCCTAAGACCATGGGTAAAACACATATCCACTAAAATTATGAAGTAGCAAACCAAAATAATGGTGTGGCTTGGGGGGGGGGGGGGGGGGGGGGGGGGTGGCCCACAACATGAGCAACTTTATTAAAGGGTTGCTGCACTAGGAAGTTTGAGAACCACTTGTCTAAATAATAGGCTTGATACTTCATCAACATTATCTGGCAAAGAAAATGCACACACACAAAATTGACTCTAAATATTTAGCTATTATGCCAACATTGAGAAAATATAGTTCATAATTGACATGTGTATGCAAACTGTTAAAATTATTTAGTAAAACATAAACATATTGATTTTAATTAAATTTGAAAATGAATTTTTAAAAAAAAGATGATATCACACCGTAAAGTAATAACAACTAGACGAGTCAGCACTGTAGAAAAAGAAAGTTAATTTGATCAAGAATGACAAAAGGACCACAAACTGACAATTCCCAAAAGGAACATCCCCCCCCCCCCCTTTTTATAACAGCCAAAAAAAGCACTTGTACGTTGTGTGACATTGTTTGAAATAGTGAGTCCAGTCGTAGGGCAACAGGTGTCCAAACTTATTTGGACTTAACCAGTTAAAGCTCTGACCTATTGGCAGAAGATTGCACCACTCTATGTTGGCAGACACCTCCAGCAACTATCATTGGCCAAAAGGGCTTTTTCTTTCAAAAGTCAAAACATTATGTTTTAAAGTCATCAGTTGATTCTCCATGTTTTGTCAAAACTTGTCAATGAACAGCTGTTCAAGTGTTTAGAATGACTGAGTTAACTTGTCAATGAACAGTTGTTTAAGTGTTTAGAATGACTGAGTTAACTTGTCAATGAACAGCTGTTTAAGTGTTTAGAATGACTGAGTTAACTTGTCAATGAACAGCTGTTTAAGTGTTTAGAATGACTGAGTTAGCTTGTCAATGAACAGCTGTTCAAGTGTTTAGAATGACCGAGTTAGCTTGTCAATGAACAGTTGTTCAAGGGTTTAGAATGACTGAGACAACTAGAGATAAAACGATTAACTAATTATTATGTCAGTTATTCTCATCACCACATATTTTCATTGTATTCTGAAGGGGCGTTGAGACAGATATCTGTGTACATAATATATCATGTTGAGACAGATATCTGTGTACATAATATACCAAATATTGATACTCGTAGCATTCATCAAGACTTTGGCTGTTGTGGGACATATGAAATATGCTCATATAAAAATAAGAGAGCACTTATTGAGGTTGAAAACTGTTTGATAGTTTTTAAGTACAATGTATTATGGCCTGAGAACAAATGACAGGCTAATGGTCAGAAATGATATATAACCTGGTCATCAAGATAGAATGGCAGGCTAATGGTCAGAAATGATATACAGCATGGTCATCAAGACAGAATGATAGGCTAATGGTCAGAAGTAATATATAACGTGGTCATCAAGATAGAATGGCAGGCTAATGGTCAGAAGTAATGTACAAAGTGGTCATCAATCTTACTTTGATGAAGTATTAAGATATTTATTATTTTGACATGTAATAAGGATGATCTGCCTGCCCAGACATCATGATGTATCAATACTGTCATGCCAGACAACATCACTACTGTCATGCCAGACAACAGGTTACATATAGCACTTACGTCATGCCAGATGACAGGTTATAGTACAACTAGGAAATAAATAGAATTAGAAACCTGTACATGATGTTGCAATAAATGACAGACTGTTACAATGTTTATACTAAATATTAAGTCAGATTGCATTGTTGAAGAGTGTAGACAAAGTTATACAAGCGTGCAATGGCTTTATAAGACCAATTAGTCATTGGTCTAAATGATCAAATGTTCATCCATGAATATGTTAAAACAACAAAAGCCCTAAAACTGAGCCAGTTCATCAATAGCCAGAGATGACCACTAGGGTCAACCACTATGGCAGTTCATCAATAGCCAGAGATGACCACTAGGGTCAACACTATGGCAGTTCATCAATAGCCAGAGATGACCACTAGGGTCAACACTATGGCAGTTCATCAATAGCCAGAGATGACCACTAGGGTCAACACTATGTCAGTTCATCAATAGCCAGAGATGACCACTAGGGTCAACACTATGGCAGTTCATCAATAGCCAGAGATGACCACTAGGGTCAACACTGAGCCAGTTCATCAATAGCCAGAGATGACCAATAGGTCAACACTATGGCAAATGTGGGGGGGGGGGGGGGCTCTGGGGGGGGAAATTAAAAGAAAGGTGGCACCAACAGGAAATTTAAAATTTTTTTTTTTTTAGTTCATCAATAGCCAGAGATGACCACTAGGGTCAACACTGAGCCAGTTCATCAATAGCCAGAGATGACCAATAGGTCAACACTATGGCAAATGTGGGGGGGGGGGGATCTCTGGGGTGAACATTAGAAGTAAGTTGCTACCATCAGTAAATTTAAAATGTTTATTATTTACACATTAATTAAACAATGATCAAACATGTATTTGTATGTGTAAGACAATATAGTCAGAAAAATAGGACATTATAATCAGCAAAATAAGACATTATAATCAGAATATAAGACAATTAGAAAAAAAGACATAATCAGCAAAATAAGACATTATAATCAGCAAAATAGACATTATAATCAGCTAAATAGACATTATAATCAGCAAAATTAGACATAATCAGCAAAATAAGACATTATAATCAGCAAAATAAGACATTTTAATCAGAAATATAAGATACTATAGTATTGTATGAAAAATTAAATAAAAAACAAACAAACTTTGAGAACCACCCCAGTTATAGGCGTACCCTACATTTAGTCTGTCTTCAGATCCAGAGAACTATTCAGGACACTAGTGTCAGGGAACAGACTTTGAGAACCACCCCAGTTATAGGCATACCCTACATTTAGTCTGTCTTCAGATCCAGAGAACTATTCAGGACACTAGTGTCAGGGAACAGACTTTGAGAACCACCCCAGTTATAGGCATACCCTACATTTAGTCTGTCTTCAGATCTAGAGAACTATTCAGGACACTAGTGTCAGGGAACAGACTTTGAGAACCACTCAATATTTGAGACTTTGAGATTTCAGGAAATTTGCTGAAAGTGAAAGAATGGTATTTGTGAAATAACTAATGCACTGATAAAGTAGGAGTAGAATTAAATAGACTACCGCTATGGCACAGGACAGTGACGCTATGGCACAGGACAGTGACGCTATGGCACAGGACAGTGACGCTATGGCACAGGACAGTGGCCCAACAGCACTACCGCTATGGCACAGGACAGTAGCCCGACAGCACTGTAAGTCGCTATGGCACAGTACATTGGCCCAAAAGCACTGTAAGTCGCTATGGCACAGGACACACTGGCATTGAAAACAAAAAGTGAAGCAAAACTGGGTATGCCCTAACTGTTGAAGGTCACAAAGGGAGAACTGTTGAAGGTCACAAAGGGAGAAGTGTTGAAGGTCACAAAGGGAGAAGTGTTGAAGGTCACATAGGGAGAACTGTTGAAGTTCACAAAGGGAGAACTGTTGAAGGTCACAAAGGGAGAAGTGTTGAAGGTCACAAAGGGAGAACTGTTGAAGGTCACAAAGGGAGAACTGTAGAAGGTCACAAAGGGAGAACTGTTGAAGGTCACAAAGGGAGAACTTAGAATATGCTATCTTTTCTTCTCACATTATAGGTACATTCAAATAAGTCTTTTTCTTTAAATGAGTTCATGTGAGCTGTAATCTGATCTGGTGATAGATTATAAAGATATTTCACCACTCTTTTGATTCTTTAAATAAAAGAATATTTGTTTGTGATCGTTAAAAGATCTCATTGATTCACAGGTAAAGCTGAAATCTTTTTAAAAATTATTTCATAAGTTAAAAGTATCAAATAAAAAGCTAAAACAAAAGATGGACTTGAGTGCAGACTTGAAAATCAGTCCATCCGACACTGGGCTAAATTCTTAAATAAAGCTTTGCTTTGTAGACTAGAAGAGCAGTAGAAAATGGTCATCGATACCCAGCAGTATAAAAATGGTCATCAATATCCAGTGGCCGAGTATCAACATTTTTGAGTTATCACAATTTTGTTAAAAATAAAAACAGGTATTATACCCGTTTTGTGTCCAGAAAGCGTAATTGTCCACTCCATGATATATTTTATTAAATTAATTAAATCTCATCTATGATTATATGCAGAGAATCTGTGACATCTGGGGGCACAGAGCCATATTTTAGTTACACTGCTTATACACAAACATCCTTTATTTTATTTATGGAACCACTATAAATAAGAGGCATGGATGTTTTTTTCCTATGAAAAATAATGTCAGGAATTTATAAATAGAATAGCTGACTTTTCAAGATGGCGTGTTAGTGTGAGTGATGCCAATGAATATACCAAAGACAAGATTATAGGAACTCCAGCTTGTGAACTTTCAGTTTTAAACACATACAATGTGTTGTAAAAAAATAGACATGTTTGAAACACATACACAATGTGTTATGCCAATCAAAATGTCTTTCATTTTATTTGTTCCCATATAATTAATATCCATAAAGATTTGATGTCATGGGTGTGGTACGGTGAGTCTGCTACTGTGAGTCTAATACTGTGAGTCTGCTACGGTGAGTCTGCTACTGTGAGTCTAATACGGTGAGTCTGCTACTGTGAGTCTGCTACTTTGAGTCTGCTACTGTGAGACTCATACTTTGAGTCTGGTATAAGGGCCGGGTACTTCAGGAGTATCTAGGTTTCATCTCATGGAAGAAAAATGTAAATGTTCACAAAAACAAAATGTTGAAAGCAATTTATTACTGTTGACCCAGACTTTGTCCTGTTGCTATGACGATCTTGCCAGAAGTGGAACCTTCATGAACAAGAACTGAACCCATCCAAGCAAAAGATTCCATAGTGAATGAAACACAGGGACCCTTTTGACCAGCAGACGCCACACAAGGACAGCAGCAACAACTTTTAACAAACTCTGTATGCGCTGCAGCCTGAAATGGAAAATAAAGCCTCATGTCAGCAGCTTTTGTTTCAACATTATCACATTTACAAGACATCATCACATTTACAAGACATCATCACATTTACAAGTCATCATCACATTTACAAGACATCATCACATTTACAAGACATCATCACATTTACAAGACATTATCACATTGTTACTGTGATTCCAACACCACAGTTTGTTACTGTGATTCCAACACCACAGTTTATTACTGTGATTCCAACACCACAGTTTGTGGACTTGAAAACACATCTATTTCGCAAACACCTGCTGGGGTGATGTTGTCTACTATCTTTTCCAGAATTAGAATGGGTATTCTTGTATGTAGTTTTTGTAATGTTGCGCTTCGAAAACCACCGGAATAGCTTATTTCAACTCAGTCATACAATCATACTGGCAGGGATTGGCATACAATCGTAAAAGACATCTCACAATTGCACATTGACATTGTACTCCAAATTGCTAAGTAACCAGGTCTGTTATCTATGACCTCATAGTAAAAGGGAAGCAATCATTGTGAATGGCTCACCTTTGTAAGGCTATCCTGGCTCTGGGTAACTCAGCAATATCTTCTTTCAACACAAACTGTTTGACACCCAGACAATAGTTCAGCATATACTTCTTCCAATCTATACTCCTAGGATCAAAGCAGAATGTTCTTCTGTCCTCGTCTGACATGTTAGCCAGCAACATAAAGATGTTGTCGTTGTGGAAATGCCATTCATTGGATGTGAAAAACTCTAAAGTTGTCACAGCTTTTGACAACTTGTCTTGAATTTTGACAAACCTAAATAGAGGTCAAAGACAAGACAAATGAAAAGCAGCAACAGACAAATAACATCAAGATGGCCGAAATTTTTTTGAAAAGAAATTTGTTAAACGGGGGTTGATTGATTTATTTTAAAAAAATGTTTTTTCAAGGAAGGTGCGAGTGAGACATGGGGGAAATCTCAACATTTTAATAGCACTTATTTTTGGTAGTTTTTTTTCCCATTATTTCATTTCAAGCAATTTTCCATGCAACAAATTTCCAGTAACCAGCAATAAAAGAGAAGACAAGCAGCAATCCAAGACAACACATAGCAATCAAAGACAAGACAAATAGCATTCAAAATTGAAATAAAAGATGATTGGCAAATGTGTATTTAATTGATGAGTCAATACTGACTCCCGCGTAAATCAAAGTGTTCTAACTCAAGAACTCTCAAACCAAAAGTGCTCAACTTAAACACAATTATTTTGATAGTCGTAAAGACTTTGACAGCTTCTCTGGGAATTCTTAGGTTAATATGGAGATTTCAAAGATAAAAAAATCAATGATTTAAAGAACACACTTTACAAAGTTACTTGAAACCCATAAGAAAGTTTATTACACCAATAACAAAGTTAATTTAAACCCTTGACCAAGTTACTTTAACACCTTGACCAAGTTACTTTAACACCTTGACCAAGTTACTTTAACACCTTGACCAAGTTACTTGACACCTGTAACCAAGTTACCTACATTGGCTTCTTGCCAGTTATCCTGAGATAGAAATCCATAATGTATGCTGGAATAATTTGGTCAAAGAACCACATGGTGTCCCGCCAAAACCTGATCATACAAAAATGCATCATTAATAATACTGTCATTGTGAAACCATCAAAGGATTCTTAAACGTACAACTACACCACATAATACAACACATAAGTGCAACACATAATATACAACAAATACTTAAAAACACAAATAAAACACACAACAAATACAAAAAAAATACAACACACAAATAGTGTCTATCCCTTGACAAAACAGAGACAATACAGAGATACTTTCAAATTTTAACATTAGAGCTTGTCAAAGTAAGTCTTTTTACTTGTATCTTATTCAGGAATTAATTCTGCTAAATAAGCTTCAAAAATACAAATCAATAAGTCCTACATACTTTGATCAAAGACAGCTCAATTTCTAAATAAGATAAGAGTCTTTGCTTGATCCAAATAAATGGAAATGTTTTTTGATTACATTATAAATATTCCTTTTCAGCACATAAATAAAGGCATATTAAACTCAAGACAACAGTTGACAATGATAACAATGCCATCAACACAAGACATCTAGAGGATTTCTTTAGCGTAGAAATCAGCCCTCAATGAACACCCTTAGTCTTAGTGACAATAATGACCTAAATGAACACCATTGGTGACAATAATGACCTAAATGAACACCATTGGTGACAATAATGACCTAAATGAACACCATTGGTGACAATAATGACCTAAATGAACACCATTGGTGACAATAATGACTGAATTAGTGATCAGATAGATTCGGTAACAGCTAAGGGAGCACGCTGGTACATTCGTACACATGGGGTACCTGATCAAGCTGATCTTAGGTAACTGTGATGAAGAGGGCGGGCTGTATCACTGAAATATTGTTTAGTTTTACAACAGTATTTCTCTTCCAATATCAATATTTCCCTTCAAGTACCGGTAGTTCCCTTCAAGTACCAGTATTTCCCTTCAAGTACCGGTAGTTCCCTTCAAGTACCGGTAGTTCCCTTCAAGTACCGGTAGTTCCCTTCAAGTACCGGTAGTTCTCTTCCAGTACCGGTAGTTCCCTTCAAGTACCGGAATTTCCCTTCAAGTACCGGTAGTTCCTTTCAAGTACCGGTAGTTCCCTTCAAGTACCGGTAGTTCCCTTCAAGTGAAGGAGGTTTTGTTTGTGTGATACTAACTATGAATAGCTATCTTTATAAGTCTCTTTCATCTGTGTTTGATGCCAGATGATGACTTCCCACACCAGCATATAACACTCAAGTGTAGTATTGTTCTGTATGGTGACACCTAGGTTCTTATATGTCTCTTCTTGCTCCATATGGTGACACCTAGGTACTTGTAAGTCTCTACTTGCTCTGTACCATTACTATGATTTTTTTATCATGAGATTTGTAATTGGGTGATCCCCCCTCCTGAACTTGACAAACATTTCTTTCATTTTCGATACATTCAGCTGAATAAAATTTTCATCGCACCAACTGATAAAGCTTGTAAATAAGCTGTGGTAAAAGCTTTTCCCTTTAGCTTTCAAGCCAACGATGGTGGTATTAGCACATTTAATGATTGGAATGATGTTGCTTGGGTTCTTAATCATTGGTATATATTGGATATAGAACAGGGGAGAGAACCTATCCTTGTTGCACGACAGTACTTACTTCAACTTATATTTTAATCCTTCTATAAAACTAGAGGTTTCTTCAAATCAACATGTTTTCATGACAGTTTTGAAACTAATATTCCAAAATACCCAGACTAATCATGAATACAAATTATGAAAACAAATCTTGCTTAAGTAAACGGGACAAGTGACTTAACCCCCAAACTGTGGTCGGCCGACCAAATCGGCCGATATTCTTGTTCTGTGCTGTGGCGGCCGAAAAAATTCAGCCGATAAAAAAACAGTCCGATAGCAACTTCCAATCCAAAATTTAACCGGAATTATAGCCACTTCCTTTTATTAATAATTAAATAATCTTCCGGTTCAAGCTGTTTCTTGATAACTTAAAAATAAGTACTTTCTAAACGGAGTTAAAATGGTTGAAGCTATGGCTGGGCCTTCAGTGCAAGAACTAATAAATATTTTTGAAAGCTTTTTGGGAGAGAATTTAAGTGATACTGATGATGATTTTAACATTCCCCATGACGATATCAGTTGAGATTATTCTTCTCGTGAATCTGATACTAGTCTTAGTGATACTGAAGTAGGCCTACAGAGGCTACTGTTATTAGACATCGAGGTTGGGCAAGGACTGACTGAATTTTAGTCACAGAAGCTACAGATTATAGATCAGAACTAATACATTTTATAATTAAACAACCCAAATCAGTTCCACAGTTCCTTTTAAATGTTTACTAGTTAGTAACAACTATTTTGCCTGAGATTTTGTATTTGATTTTAGCTGTGGTCCCAGTTTCTTATATAACATTTTCTGAAAGATAAATGAATTGGCTAAAATATTAAGATTAGTTTTTTTAAGTGTATCTATAAAAACTTATGATAATATGAGCACGTGAAAGCAAGACTTTTTGTCAATTTTTTTTTTCCATAAGCACTCCAAGGTCAAGGACACAGCAAAAAATTTTTACGGGGTGGACAATATGGCCAACATTATGCCCATCCATTTACCTTTCTAAAAATATATATTTATTGGGGTCTTGTATTAATATTTCTATGTCATTTAATGCCATTGCAAAAGTCGCTCCAAAAGCCCTGAAAAGCTGCCACTACAGAATGATGCATGCCACAGTTCGTGGGTTAAGAATGCTTGCTGAATGCAGAGCCAATGTTCTTAGGTACCAGTCAATACATTGCAAAATAGCAAATAGTTTTTAATGAAAAGGTTAAGGAAAAAAATACAGAGCAGGGTACAGAGGCACACACTTTGGAGACCACTGACATGAGATTATTTAACTAATCATAATGAGACAAATGGTCTGTGTTGGACTAAGAATATGATTTGAACAAAGTGATGATGATGGACTCACATGTTTAAAGTAAAACGAGGGTTGGGAACTCTGGCCATATTGTGACACGGGTTGTTGATGAAGTTTTCTCTAACACAGGATGCTGAGCTCAAACAGAAAGTAAAACATTCATTGGAATATTTTAAATTTCCTTATTTTCTCTTTAAAAATAATCTTATATAACAACTCTGTGGTGAGTACATAGAAGATGAGCATTTCAGAATAACCAATGTTTCATTCAAAAGTTTCAGAGTAGAGTCTAAATTTTTGATTGAACAGTCTCATGGCAGTCTAAATGTTTCATTCAACAGTGTCAAGGTCTTAATGTTTGATTCAACATTCTTATGGCAGAGTCAATGTTTCATTTAACCGTCAAGTGACAAGATCTTAATGTTTCCTTAACTAACTAGTGGCAAGGTCTTAATCTTTCAATTAACCGTCTAGTGGCAGGTCTAAATATTTCTATCAACTGTCTAGTGGCAAGGTCTTAATCTTTCAATTAACTGTCTATTGGCAGGTCTAAATATTTCTATCACCTGTCTAGTGGCAGGTCTAAATATTTCTATCAACTGTCTAGTGGCAAGGTCTTAATCTTTCAATTAACCGTCTAGTGGCAAGGTTTTAGATTTCAACTCACCCATGGCCCCCCATGTAAGCTTGTTAATTTGTCCACTAGTACAGTTGTACACAAGGACTTCTTTAGATCTTAGAGAACAAATAGTCAAAGTATTGCATATAATAAATAATTGTATTGCATATATCACAATATTTATTTTTATTTTTTTTGGAATTCATTAAATTAAAGCAAAGTTTTAAAGAATATTAAATAACTCATATTACTATTAGAAAATTCCATTAGCTGACAATAGCCCATATTACTTTTGAATCATCCATTAGATGAATAATAGCCCATATTACTTTTGAATCATCAGTTAGTTCAAAAATAGCCCATATTACTATTGAATCATCCATTAGATGAACGATAGCCCATATTACTATTTGAATCATGCATCGAATGACCAATAAATGTTCCCCTTTTCTCAGGCATGTTAGAGATTAAACATTAAAAGCAGAATTGGTAGGACCGCCTTAAACGGGGAAGTACCTTAACTTCGGTCCCATTAGTCTTTTTTAAATTAACCATAAGTGGGCATCAGATTATTAATGTTATCTCTATTTGTTATCATTTTATCACCATATTATTAATGAAAGAAAGAGAAGCAATCAGAGATAGCTGTTAAGCTAAGGGGAGACAACTTCAAAGATGTTAGCAATCACTTCTCAAACAAAACAGAACACAATTTAGTGACATCCCTTTTAGTTTTAAAACCTTATTTAAATAGAGGGTGCAAAAAAGCATGGAAATGTGCACAGTGAGACATGTCCGCTTCATGGAAATGTGCACAGTGAGACATGTCCGCTTTAATGGAAATGTGCACAGTGAGACATGTCCGCTTTATGGAAATGTGCACAGTGAGACATGTCCGCTTTATGGAAATATGCACAGTAAGACAGGTCCCCTTTTATGGAAATGTCCACAGTGAGACAGTCTGCTTTTATGGAAATGTGCACAGTAAGACAGGTCCGCTTTATGGAAATGTGCACAGGTACGGTTTTATGGAAATGTGCACAGTAAGACAGGTCTGCTTTTATGGAAATATGCACAGTAAAACAGGTCCGCTTTTATGGGAATGTGCACAGTAAGACAGGTCTGCTACAGAATTATGGAAATGTGCACAGTAAGACAGGTCTGCTACAGAATTATGGAAATGTGCACAGTAAGACAGGTCTGCTACAGAATTATGGAAATGTGCACAGTAAGACAGGTCTGCTACAGAATTATGGAAATGTGCACAGTAAGACAGGTCTGCTACAGAATTATGGAAATGTGCACAGTAAGACAGGTCTGCTACAGAATTATGGAAATGTGCACAGTAAGACAGGTCTGCTACAGAATTATGGAAATATGCACAGTAAGGTAGTTCTAATAACTGCATGGAAACAAATTTCAGACATGCTGGTCCAGTGTTTATGTTTGTTTAATCGTCAATGATTTTACAAATTGACCTCAACCTCTAGTGAAAACATATTGGTGTCCACCCATTGACATACCTGTTAACTGCCGTGTGCCAAGCCACTGCGATCATGGCATTTGTCGCCGTGTCTACTGGAATAACATCAGCAGTGCAGTAGACATTGCCGTGCATTATAAATAAAAGTCCTTTACCAATCTGTGGAGTAGTTGGACAATGGATTTATTATTAAACATGAACAAGAATGGCGTCGATGCCTTTCATTGTATCAATCAAGTTTATATCTACTTTTGACAAATAACTTAATTAAAAATGCAAGAGTAAAGAGCAATTAAAATCAACTAAAATAGTTAAGTTCTTTCTTTCTTGCATTCCTTAATGAGCATGTGAGCCTTACAGCAGCCAAGAGTCCAGTAGGTCCATTCAAGTTATCTACCCAGCCCTAAGGATAGAAATGAGACCACGTTATGCAAATGTTCAGTCTGATAAATTGACAAGAGAAAGTATTTTTTATTTTCATTTTACATGTTAAACTATAAACACTTAAAATATCGCGATGGCTTCTTTTTTTTTTTTTTAAACTTCCAGACATGCACAATTTTAATAAAATAATTTAATAAACTGAAAGAAAAATTCTTTAAAAGAACTTTTCTTTTGTAATAAATGTTACTGTTGAAAACATTCATTTTACAAGATGAAATGTGTTCATCAAAGCTGTTCAATATTTGATCGTTAAGGATTAGCATAGGTGTAAGATATTTTAATGTTAAAAAATTATCTCACCGGAAAAGGTTCCTCCCATGATGCACCAACAATGGATGGTCTGACAATGGCTACAGGTAGTCCAGCACTCTCTTCAACTAATAAGAACTCAGCCATGGCTTTTGTGTACGTATAAGTGTTCGGTCGAGAACCAATTAATTTGCTTGTAAGAGCTTGAATTGCATCTTTATCCATCCATCTGATGTGAGAATGTAGAAAATGTATCATAAAAGAAAGATTTAAACTAAGATTTGTATTTTCTTATAATTGGCACAAGACAATTATAATGTCACAAGACAATCATTACAACTTGACAAGACAATTATTATAATGTCACAATTAAAATGCTGACTTACTCCATGGCATCTATAATCTTATTAGGATGGAGGGGAGGTTCGTACACTACTTCCTTCACCGACTCCTTATCACAGTTGGCGTACGCAGTGGATACATGGACCAGGGCCTAAAATTGTATGTTTGGAGATATATAGATAAAGGGTATGAGAATCAAGGATGTTCACAAGTTTTAGAGTTATCCTTGTTAGATATGTGTTTAACAGTTATAGTTGACAATGGTGCCAGTAGTAGTGAAGGGGTTGGTCAAGGAGACCCAAAAAAAACAGTAATTTTGTCAAACATAATGCAACATCACATCAAAATAAGTCCATTTTCATTTGTTGTTCCTTTGTGTGTGATGAATTTCCCAAACACATTTTAAATGAATGTTGATATGAAATTCCACTGTAGCTTGTGTATATTTCACATGTGATCTGCTACAGAAAACTGTAACCATCCCATATTAAAATTTGATTTACACCGCTAAATTCTTAATTTTTCTTGCCAGCTAAAAAATTCTACTCACACCCATACCATAACATTCACTTGAACTATACCGCTAAATTCTTCATTTTTCTTGCCAGCTCAACAATTCTCCTCACACCCATACCATAACATTCACTTGAACTATACCTCTAAATTCTTCATTTTTCTTGCCAGCTCAACAATTCTCCTCACACCCATAATATTCATTTGAACTGATAATCTGTGATAAAAATAAAACAAGAAAATATTAAATGTTAAAAATGACCCTTTAAATATTACTGTAAATATCCATGTAAAAATTACTGTAAATGTCCCCGTAAATACTACTGTACATGTCCCTGAAAATATTACTGTAAATAATATGTTTTGATATGTTTTGCCTAGTTTTGTAATACTTCTAAAATTATGTATAACTAAAGCTTTAAAATGTGTCTAGTAAATGCAGGACTTTGACATGCACAACTTAAGTTTTAATTAGCAATAGCCATGGAAAAATTGTTAAACCAAACATATCTTTATTGTACTCATTGTGCATTTATTTCACTTTTATTTTATTTGATATGGATGCACTCAACTCAAGCCCATTTTTAACAAAAACCAATTGCATTAAAAATGAACTAGTAAAACAGTTGAATTAAATTACCACAGAGAGCAATAGATGATGCCACACAGACCAACAGATGATGCCATACAGACCAACAGATGATGCCACACAGACCAACAGATGATGCCATACAGACCAACAGATGATGCCACACAGACCAACAGATGATGCCATACAGACCAACAGATGATGCCATACAGACCAACAGATGATGCCACACAGACCAACAGATGATGCCACACAGACCAACAGATGATGCCACACAGACCAACAGATGATGCCATACAGACCAACAGATGATGCCACACAGACCAACAGATGATGCCACACAGACCAACAGATGATGCCACACAGACCAACAGATGATGCCACACAGACCAACAGATGATGCCACACAGACCAACAGATGATGCCATACAGACCAACAGATGATGCCACACAGACCAACAGACGATGCCGATCAAAGCAATAGATGATACCACATAGAGCAATAGATGATGCTATGTTTGGGGCAACTCACTTTAACTCTTCGTCAAATTTCACTGTGGCCGCTGAGTGAAAGACTATGCTGGTCTCTGCTATAATCATCTTCTCATCCGCCTCACTTAAACCAAGTCTAGGCTCAACAATGTCCCCACAGACAGGTATGACCCGTTCTTTTAGGTCTGGCATACTAGACCTGAGTTTATCATAAAGCTGTTGGTAGAACATTTACAATAAGAGATAAAAATTCATCTAAAATCAAAAAGAAATTTTTTTGAAACCACGAAATATCAATCTAAACATTAATGTTGGGTTGCTTTAAAAATAAGGGCAAGTTATTTTATAAATACGCCAAAATGATACCCTTTTGATTTTATATGGCTTCGATAAGTGCTCTACAAATTAGGCATAAAATGAAAATTTAAAAAATCAAGCTTTGAATGCGCTTTAGCAGGAAATTTTGGAGTGTCCTGCTTCGGTTAATTATTTTATCAGCTCTGACTCGACTGGACATTTTGAATGGATCACAGGGGCTGCACAACTAAAATGGATGACAGTGGATGAAGTGGAGATGGTAAGGATAAATTGGACAGAGCACCGCCATGATAGTGGAGGGTGATGGAGATAGTATTGGAGTTAAAGTGAAGGACAATTATGTATGAGCAACCCTCCATGGAGATAGTATTGGGGTTAAAGTGAAGGACAATATGTATGAGCAACCCTCAGAGTTATACAAATAAATGACACTACCTTTATTGATTCACTTTTCAATTAATCTGTTGTATGAGCAAACCTCTAGAAGTGAATAATTAGTGGAACAATTGTTCTGTCTTTTTTTCAGGCCAGAACATATCTTGATCCACTATTTAATTACGCCACACGGCTTAAACGCTGTCCCCCATATCATCATCATATAAGTGTTAAGAATAATGAAGATTGTTAAAAATCTACTTACCTTTGAATTAATAATGGCTTCAATCCTCTCCTGAGGTTTCTGGCCTTTTTTTGGTCTTACAAGTAAATAGCATCTTTTAATGTCGGGACAGGATCGGAGTAATTTTTCCAGCAGTACCTTGCCCATAAAACCAGTAACTCCAGTAATAAAGATTGACTTGTTTCTGTAGAAGGCCGGGATGGACATCTTCTGTTTAATACCTTCCTCCATCATCATCATCTGGCGGCTTTTTATTTATAAACTGCCCGTGACAAAAGGGTTTATTGAAGAAACGGGTCAACCAAATCAAATGATTCAGCTTGTTTAGAGCTGCGTGGCTGGGTCAGTCTTCTTAAGCTCATGGGTATTTAAGTGAATTAAAATTAATACAAATTTTAACTTAACAGAATTTCCAGTTATATGAATACTTCCTTGTGTCTGATGTGACTTGGTAAAGCACACTGGTTCTGGGACCTACAAAAATATAGAAATTTATTATATAGAATTTTTAAAACTGAAAGTTCACAAGAAAAAAAACATTATATGCTTACACATACATCTTGTAGTTATGGATGAAAATGCATAAAGAACTTGGCAGAAGATAAAAATAGTTGAAATCAATGATCAAACTGATATTAAAGAAGGAAATAAAATATTTAATTTTAAGTGGAGTATTTTCATTAGTCTATAGGAATTTAATTTATTCCAGTTGTTTTTAACTATGGTCGCTTGCTTACCATCTGTATTCAATAACAAGCTGAATTTATTTCTCACTTAAACAAATGACAGGAACTGGGTGTAAAATAGATCAGCAAAATTGAACATTTTAGGCTCAGCAAACTTTAAAGCTTAAGTTTAGGCCTAGCCGTTGAAAAATCTTAATATAACATGAAGCCCAGCTGGTACTGTTAAACTGGAACAAGGCTTAGCTCATAACAAGAATGCTTTAAACAAACAGATCTTATCTGGAACACTTCTCATTGATAAGCAGTATCAGTATACGTAAACTTATTCACATGGTATTTCAATAAAACGCAACTTAGGGCTGCTGTAATGTGGTTCCTTAAGGGAAGAAATGGTATAAAGGGGCACATTGGTTATTTGCAAAGAAAATGTACTCTCCCAAAATCTTAAAGAGTTTTGTAGCACAAGGATGTAACAGTGACATTTAAAAATAGACAATCACAAGCGTAAGAAGGAACATAAGCAATAAAATCGTCAATGATTCTTTTCAACAATAAAATTAGTGAAATAGTGGGACCAATGAAATTAATGTGACAAATACATTTGACTTTGCTTACATTAGGCGGATATATTTTATTATTCTTTGCAACATTGTGATCGTATGCTGCACCCTTAGTCTAATTTAAATTATGCAAAAAAAGGTGCTTCCTTTACTCGGAACCCCAAAATTAAACTAATTTTCCATCACTTCAAATTCAAAGGCATATATTAAAATATTTTGATTGAGTTCTTGCTAAGTATCAAACATTGGCAATATGTTTCCAATTTCTGTCTCTGCATAAAATGAAGACACCTTGTTAAAGTAGGGCAGGTTGTTCATTGCATAAGATCATTCTTCTTAGAAATAGGGTTTTGGACATTCATATAAAATGGACAGAAATTGAATTAAGACTTTTTCTACAAACCAGTCATTTTGCATCATGTAATATTTGAAAATCACTTTTTTTGTGACGCCCAACTTCAATTTATTAATGTAGTAATTTAAAAATGAATTGTTTAAATAAAAATTTAAAAACAATATTACTTTATTGTATTTTTATAAATACAACAATGTCCAGTGATTCCTAAATTCTCTCCGATTAATTGTAGAATGGTGCAAAACTAAATTCAATTAAATGCAAAAATGTAACCTTGCATTTAGAATTTAACCCAAAAAAAATTCTGTGGAGGGCTTAATGAGCCCCTCCCCCACCTTTCCCTTGGGAGCCATAGGTGCCCTCAATTTCTGCTTTGCCCTTCCCCAACACGTAAGATGGTGCTATAAAAAAAAAATTTCCTGGGGCATGCAATAGCTGGAATGAATTCAGGTTATGCATGGCACTGGACCAAAACTGTACCTTAAGACAGCGGTTCCAAACCTCTGTTAAGCGAACCCCTGGGAGGATGGTACGCAAAAATTTTATTGACAATTGCGGAAAACTGTAAAATAGTTTGTTTTACACCCCTTCCTTTAAGAGAAGCTATATTTCAATATATAAGTCTAATTAATGGATAGAGGATTTTAAAAAAGTTTGGCAGCTGCTGCCCTAAGGGTACAACAAATTTAATGAATTCATTTTATTTTAAGCGGAGTGGAAAGTGTTACAGATGCCCCTTGTTGTCAGCTGAAACCAGTAGGCTACAGTTTAAGACAACAATTTTTTAAGAAAAGTGTCCATTTTTATTTTAATTGATCAAAATACTGAATGCGTCTAATATCTAGGCATAAATAAATGACACAGCTAAAAGAAATGTTATAATTAATGCATATTTGCATGTTGATATTGACGATAATCAGATAATATAAAATATCATATTTATTTTAAAGAATGCGTCACTGACAGAACAGCTCTCTGTGCAATGACAAATTTTAACGTTTGGACACAAATGGTGCAAAATGATTTTACATGAACTGGTTTAAATTTGTTTAATGTTAATGTCCTGTTAAGAATTTGAATATTATAGTCACCTTACACAAGCATGTAACAGTATGAAACTAAAACAATTTTTTTTTTTTATGTGTCTCCAAATTTCTTTCAACTTCTACTTTTAAATTTCATCAAAGCTCATGAGTCATCGTTACTTTAACTTTAATTAGGGATAGTAAAATGTATTTAAGTCATCAGACTACACATGACTAGGGTATAGTTAACTGACTATTAAATATGCTTTACCTTTTTTTTAAAGATTTGATGCCACAAAAACTCTCGTCTCTTCACTCATTCTTTCAAAATTTGACTACTGTAACATTCTTCTTTCAGGCATTCCTCAACACCACATAGAAAAACTTCAGAAGGCACAGAACTCAGCATGCAGACTCATTTTTAAATCAAAGAAACATGACCACATTCAACCACACATGCGGCAACTCCACTGGCTTCCAATATCCTCTCGCATCAAATACAAGTCTTCCAATCTTTGCTTCAACTCGTTCACTGACCCTCACTTTCCTGTCTATCTCTCTGAACTGTTGCTTCCTTACATCCCCACAAGACAACTACGTTCTTCCATTGACAGTAGAACCCTCTCAATCCCAAGAACTAAAACTAAGACCATCGGTGAACGCTCCTTCTGCTTCCATGGGCCCACGTTCTGGAACCAGCTCCCCTTCCATATACGTCATAGTGAAACCTCGTCCATTTTCAAAAAGTCCCTTAAAACTCATCTGTTTAGGTCCGCCTATGACCTGTGATGCACCCTCCTTGCCCTACCTAATTTTCTGTTTCGGTTTAATCCTGAAGTGTCAAAGTGTCCTCTTTTTATAGCCATTTTCATTGTTTCTATAGAATAGTAGTTACTATCCTAGTGTCTCATTTGTATTTACTTAGTTTACATGTTTTAATAATTGTAAAGCGCTTAGAGCTTTATGATAAGCGCTATATAAAAATGCCTAAATAAATAAATAAATAAATAAATATATATACCAATAAGTAAATGGGTATACTCTATACTTTTCAATTTTCATCAAATGTACTCAACTGCAACTACCTCATTCAAGGGTGGAATGGATCCAGCACTAGTCCAGCAATAGGCCTTTCTAAGCGAATGACAGTACTTTATTAATTTAAAATATCATTGTGACCCTTTGGCTTTATCAAAGTCAAAATTTATGTGGATTCCAAGGCTTGAATAGGATCAATAAAATGATCTCAATGAATAGACTATTGACACTTATAACTATTGACGACAGTCTTATTTATATAATATGAATTGAATAGCAGGCCTTAATTTTTTTAAATCACAAAAGAATTAATCACATGATGTCAGTGAATTATGGATTGATTTTAGAGACAATTTTAAGAAAATAGGTTAAAATTAATGCAGAAACATATTTTTTTTTAAAGACCAAGTCACACAAGTACTAGCCATAGTCTCAATTTACTGAATGAATGAATCAGTTCAATAATTGAATAAAAGGTTTAAAATCTAGGCCAGGGTTTCCCAACCTGGGGTGCTCGCCATGTAGTGCAAGACTGGGGATGCAAAGTGGCATTTCAGGGGGTATAAGTATAAGGAATGGGATTATACAGAGTATACAAGTATACTCTTTAGGACATTAGTATTAGGGAAGCGTTATCCACACAGCTCTGTGAATAATGTTGAGCGTTATCGGCAGACCGGCAGACCGAGATCTGCGAATAATGCGGAGCGTTATTGTTAGACAGAAATGTTCCCATAATGACGCACATTTCTAGAAATAATTAAGATCACATTCCAAGCCGGGGTAGGGGCGTAGTTTTAAGTAGTGTAGGATAGATCGATCGTTAATGAGAATGGCACAAACACATCTCAAAACCAAAGCTACCGGTATGCACAAGTTAAATTTAAAAAATTTAATAGGCCTAACTATAGCCTATATATTGGATATAGGACAATTAATTGTGCCTACATCTGCTCTGTTAGCCCTAACCCTAACCCTAACCCGTTATTCACAGCCGACTGCGTATAACTCTCAGGGTTATGTGCAGTCGGCTAGGAATTTAGCCAAATAAGGTTTATCAATCGCTTGTTTGGCAATTTTAAAAAAAGTATAATGCGTAATGAGCTGCATGACGGGTTGTTTTGAAATAGAACTTTTAATGTGTTTAACGGAAAATTTTAATTGAATTAATTAATTAATTTTACTTAATATTGAAATTGATGATAGCAATAGTATTAGTATTAGTGCTATTATTAGTATTATTACTTGTATCTTATATATTATAATTATAAGTCAAAGTCTAAATTTCTTAGAGTTAGAGTCTAAGCCTAACGCGGTCTAAGTCTAGTTATGTATTTTGATTGATTAGGTTTTTATATGTTGCTATGACCATGTGGTTGGTTTTACTGACTAATTCAGGAAATACATTCTATTTATTTTGTAAAAAATTATATCATTTATGATTTATTTATTTTTTTGATGACGTAATTGTAACAGTTTTCAGCTTTCATGCAAAACAATAACTGTGTGAAAGTATTACTTAGAGTGCCCCCTCTACAGAACCCCCTGCCCCTACAGCGATTTTTTTTACTGTTACTCTCCAGCCATGATTATATTTATTACTGTACCAGAGAAACATGATTTTATCTGCCACAAAATTAGTTAACAACACAAAATATATGTTAACAACACAAACATATATTTGATAATTATAAGAATAACATTATTAACATTACATTGGTCAAGTTAATTCTTATCATGTTTTAACATTTTTTAGCCAAAACAAAAGTAAAACAATTATCATAGCTGCTTTTGGTTCATTCTGTATTCATGGCTTGCCGTTGGCTGGAATTGATCTCAAGACCACCAACTTGGGGTTTGGTCAGTTTGTACCATTCGACCACCCAGTCACCCCGATAACGAAGCACCCTTATTGATTGATACTGTAACACAGGAAGAATATAGACGTCACGTGACTTGCCGACTGCGTATAACTCTCAGGGTTATACGCAGTCGGCTGCGCATAACCACTTCGTAATAAAAATGGTACCGATATTCTTCATGTAGACTCACTTTCACCCATTGTAGAGATGTCTTTAAATGATGTCAAAGCTTGATAGGATATCGTTTAGTTTTTTAAAAACACTATGATATATCACGTAGTCCAGAAATGTTCTGTCAGAAATAGTTAACATGCCGTGCAACAGTGTTATGATGCAGAGAGGTGTCTCCATCAGGAGGCCATGTGAGAGACGGGGAGGGGCATATAGGCCCTACATAGATAATAACAGAATCTAATCCTGTTTAAGGCTAGTATTTTTTCCTGATCCTTGAGGGTGTCCCCAAGTCTACCCAGCTCTGGCCTTAGCTGGGGAAAAGTAAAGCTGGCTGGTTATTGTGCTGGCCATACACTCAAACTTGTAAACGCTGCTTCAATTGCCCCAAGGGAACTTTACTTCCCCAAGACTCGCAATGCATCCTACGACCAGCAGGGTTCCAATTAATTTTTGTATGCTTTTTTTTTTATTTAGACCCAAGGTTACAACAGTGACTGTATGGCTTTTGTTTCAATTATCAACATTTTTTTTTCAAGAGCTAAAATTGTTGATGTCAATGATATTGATATGTTTTAAGTACGGTACCAGTATGTTCATTTCATTGTCATCACTAAGTGTTATTTCAACTATTTCTGGAGCGGCATATTGTGTCCCTACTTATTATGATCCTTAGTAGAAAATAAAATGAAACAAATAAAGCGTGACATATTTTTTCAGCTTAACATTAATACACAACTCTGAGATCTAAAATATTTGAATAAGTAAGTTATTAATAATTATTTGTTTATTAGAGAAAAAACAAATGGATGTTAAAGTCTATGAGTGGAATTATACAAAGAAAATTAAACACTCAAAACAGCTAAAAGTATATCACAATGTACAGTTAGAACAGCTGTATCTGACTTAAACATGGTTTATGCGGCTCATCTGCGTGTCCATGTTGTTTACAGTTTTTTAACGAAACTTGAATGAACATTCTAACAAAATAGATTGAAACTTGTAACATAAGTAACAAAACTATATGAAAATAATAATAAAACTATGTGAACAGAATAAGAAAGCTATATGAAGAATATTATTATAATATAACACTACGAAATAACCATTAAATATTTTTTTTTTAAATTTCATTTATAAAATGAGGCTTCCCCGACAGGGAATCGAACCTATGTCTGCTGAGTGGCGGTCGGAGATACTGACCACTACACTACCGATGAGATGTGAACTATGAACTTTGTATTTTATATTCATAATTTAATTTATCACATTCTGCGAATAATGTCAAGCGTTATCGGCAGACCGAAATCTGTGAATAACGGCGAGCGTTATCCGCACAGCTCTGTGAATAATCACTTCGTTAGTATTAGCCTTAAGTTTATATTATTAAAATGTTCAAATTGTCATATATTATGATATATATTATATATTTCTAACATTTCTTCATTAGAAATAGACTAACAATTTCCACAAACAATTAGATTCCATTATTTTCAAATTCATATATTATAGTTAATTTTGTAAGGCAAGGGATGCCAGACTTAATTTTTTTTTTAAACCTATTGTCAGTGCCTAGTAGTAGCGGGGGCACCACTAGTAAAATTATTATTTTTTTTTTTTTTTGTAAATAGAAAGCCAAATCGTCCTATAGCCTGCCTAAAGCTAACAGTAAATGTAAGAATGTAGGGAAATATGTGATAATTATACTTTTTGATGTATTGACTTTTTTTTCGTCAACGGCAACGTCTTACGCCACTATTATGACACCCCAAAAATGATAGATTATAGACTATAGACTGAAAGTGATAGATAGATCATGATTCCTGTTACTAACTAGGGACCAAAAAGTAGGGATAGTGATTGTCCGATTGTCCAAAGTGCCCAAGTCGAAGCAAAAACTTCAGAAAAAAAATAGACCATTTTTAATTTTTATAAAATTAATACAGATAAATAGGCATTTTTCGAAAGCTATTAATTTATAGGAAACGGATGCCAGTTAAGACTCAATAAATAAAGGGTAAAGTTTCTACTCACTTCCTTTTTAGTGCTCATCTGTAAGATTTTTTTTTTACATTGGTTACTCTGACACTAACACTGTTAACTCTACTTTAGACTCACTTCGGTGAACTCACTGAACTAAGGTTTGTAGGCCGGTAACCGTCGGTGACTGGTAGGTGGTGTGATGTTTCCGGACACATTCGGTTATCAGGCTATGTTCCGTTCATAATTTTCGTTTGATTAAAATGTATGCAGAGCCGCTGAAATAAGGGATGGGCCGTGTACATATTATTTAACACAAAAATATGACATTCTCTTTACACACGCCTCTACCCTTTATAACGTTATATAACATTTCGATTAAGTGATTGACCACAATCCTAACATTATATAAAATTTCTAGCAACTCCCCCCCGCCTATAAAACATTTTTACTACAAAAATGTGTTTTTGTCATTAATTAAACAACTGTTACTATTAACCCACAGAGCTATAAATATATATATCTCTATGTCTATGCTATTAACCACATAGGCCCTATTTGCCACACAAAATTGAAAAAGACGAAAGTAGTAACAGTTTTTTTTAGTGTGTTTGTTTGTTGTTGTTTTTTTTTTTTTAAAGAAAGCTGAAACAAGTAAATTTGAAGCAAAAAGGCAGAAATTATTTTTATAAAAATATGCTAATAATTAATAGTTGTAAGCATAAAATTTTAGTTGTTTTTTTTTTTAATTATCTAAGCTAATTTTGTAAACTTGAAAAGTAGACATTTTTAGGGGGAAAAATAAAATTAATTAAAAAATCAACAAATAAAATTGCTATAAAGCAGTGCTCTCTACCACCCCATGTAACGTAAATCAGATATCATAGTGATAAACAAACCCCCTATCCCCTTTTCGTTACCTAATATGTGCAAGGTCGCTTATCCAAAAATGAAGAGTGTAGTGAAATTTCTTCGTCATGCAGAAATGGGCAAATATTTTCCCAAATTCCTTGAAAAGTCAATTTTATTTTATTTTTTATATCGACTTGTTTATCGTTAATCTTTCAATTTATTCTTTAATTTTAGGTATTTTGTTGAGATTTTAATTTATCAATATTAAAAGAATGCATAAATTAAGGTTCAATTTTAGACAGAATCCATTATTTAAGAGACATTTAAAGAATCCTTTATTTAAGAGACAATCAAAGAATCCTTTATTTAAGAGACATTTAAAGAATCCTTTATTTAAGAGACATTTAAAGAATCCTTTATTTAAGAGACATTTAAAGAATCCATTATTTAAGAGACATTTAAAGAATCCTTTATTTAAGAGACATTTAAAGAATCCTTTATTTAAGAGACATTTAAAGAATCCTTTATTTAAGAGACATTTAAAGAATCCTTTATTTAAGAGACGTTTAAAGAATCCTTTATTTAAGAGACATTTAAAGAATCCTTTATTTAAGAGACATTTAAAGAATCCATTATTTAAGAGACATTTAAAGAATCCTTTATTTAAGAGACATTTAAAGAATCCTTTATTTAAGAGACATTTAAAGAATCCTTTATTTAAGAGACGTTTAAAGAATCCTTTATTTAAGAGACAATCAAAGAATCCTTTATTTAAGAGACATTTAAAGAATCCTTTATTTAAGAGACATTTAAAGAATCCTTTATTTAAGAGACATTTAAAGAATCCTTTATTTAAGAGACATTTAAAGAATCCTTTATTTAAGAGACATTTAAAGAATCCTTTATTTAAGAGACATTTAAAGAATCCTTTATTTAAGAGACATTTAAAGAATCCTTTATTTAAGAGACATTTAAAGAATCCTTTATTTAAGAGACATTAAAAGAATCCTTTATTTAAGAGACGTTTAAAGAATTCTTTATTTAAGAGACATTTAACGATTTTTTTTTAAAATACAGTTTACGATATCAGGGCGCTTGAACAAGTTAGAATATCATGGACACAAGCGCTAGGCAAGAAATCATCAGCATCATCATCAGCATCATTATCATCATCAGCATCAGCATCATCATCAGCATCATCATCATCAGCATCATCATCAGCATCATCAGCATCAGCATCAGCATTATCATCATCATCAGCATCATCATCATCATCATCATCAGCAGCATCATCAGCATCATCATCATCATCATCAGCATCATCATCATCATCATCATCATCATCATCATCATCATCATCATCATCATCATCATCATCATCATCATCATCATCATCATCATCATCATCATCATCATCATCATCTTCATCATCATCACCATCATCATCATCATCATCATCATCATCATCATCATCATCATCATCATCATCATCATCATCATCAACATCATCATCATCATCATCAGCATCATCATCATCATCATCATCATCATCATCATCATCATCATCATCATCATCATCATCATCATCATCAGCATCATCATCATCATCATCATCATCATCATCATCAGCATCAGCATCATCATCATCAGCATCATCATCATCAGCATCATCATCAGCATCATCATCATCATCATCATCATCATCATCAGCATCAGCATCATCATCATCATCAGCATCATCATACCAAAACAAAAACAGTAAATTTAGTGAACAATGAACGTGAAAAAAAAAACTCTTAACGTCTTTTCTTAAACACAGAGCAAATATGTGACACACCAGAATGTATTTCATCAGGAATAGCAGATTTTTGTGCAACTTGAGATTCACTGTTGAACAACTTGACTAAGAAATAATATTAACCATTCAAAAATGAAGCTAATAATATACAGAAGCTAAACAAAAGAATTCCAAGAAAAAGAAGCTCGAATTCAAACGTTGATCACCAGCTGGTATCCTGAAATGGGTGGGCAGTGGGCAGTCTGAGGGTGACACTTTTTATATCATGCAACAACATTACTCTAACAACAAAACTACAACAACATCACTCCAACAACAAAAATACAACAACATCACTCCAACAACAAAACTACAACAACATCACGCCAACAACAAAACTACAATAACATCACGCCAACAACAAAACTACAACAACATCACGCCAACAACATTACTCCAACACCATCACAACCACAACAGCACTACAACAACAGCACTACAAAAACACCACAGCATCAACAACATCATATCAACAACAGTACTCAAACAACATCACTAGAGCAACAGGACTACAATAATAGCAGTGCAACAGCAGAACTACAAAAAATTTACTCCAACAACATAACTCCAAAAACAGCACTACAACTAAAGGACTACAACAACAGCACAACAATAACAGCACTCCAACTCCAACAACAGCGCTACAAAAGCACTCCTGCAACAGCACTAAAACAACAGCACTACAAAAATTACTCCAACAACAGCACCACAACAACAGCACTACAACAAAATCACTGCAAAAAAATTACTCCAACAACAACACTAAACCAAGGGCACTTTTCATAAAAAGGGTAGACTAACTAACGCACATATTCTGGTGAAGGTCTGAGATTACTCTCTTATGAACCCGGCTAGTAAATTGGCTATCAACTCCATCTGTTGAGCTGAGCCATACAATATTTCCCTCACAAAGGATCCTCCAACCGCCCTGGCTTCCCCCGGGAGATCTAGTGCGGGACACTCCGTCAACAGATGTTCTAAGGTCTCTGGGGCCAGGCTGCAATACCGGCAGGTAGGATCTCTGTTGTTATCCAACCTCCAGAAATATGTGCGCAAGGGGCAGTGCTCGGTGCGCATCTGCGTCACTAGACTCTGCAATCTGCGACCTAACCCCCACCATGGGTCTTGTTTGCTAGGAGTAGGCAAGTTCGAATAGACGCCTCTGGCGGTCGTGTTGTCCCATTGAAGGGGGGAAGTTACTTGTAACTTTCACCCGGGAGAAGGTAAGAGAAAAAAGCCTAGTTATTATTATTTAATATGGCTAGTAAAAAGGGTAGACTATATGGGGCGAACTGATCTTCTTCCTACGCAAGTGCAAAGGTCACTGCCGTCTGCGGCGGACTTCCGCCCTCTTCATACCCTTGAGTAAATAACGCAACGTGAAGACTATTCGAAATCAAATTGGATGAAATATTTAGATTAGGTACCTCACACTGGCTTAACAACGAGCTTTTGTCTCACTAAAGCCGGTATTTAGTCACTTTTCACTTAAGGTTTTCCATTAAAAATTGGTCAAATACCAATAAAAATTGTACCTTTTAAAACGTATATTTTAAGCCCTCTGATTCAATGTCATTTTCGTTGTTTTTGATATAAAAAGTATATATACAATTATCGCACGAAACCATCACCAAAATAATTTTTTATCGGCGGTCAAGCAATCATTTTTAAATCCCCCCCCCCCCCCCCCAATTCATCCCCCCCCCCTTTTTTCAAAAAAAAAAA